AGCAGAGATGTCTGGCCTGCCTGATCTGAGCCGGCCGTCTCTGCCCCCACCCGAGAAAATGGAGGCAGCTCTGTTGCAGGCACCTAGCCTGGTGTTGTAGGCGGGAGCCAGGCAGGCGGGGAGCAGTCGGGCTTCGCCCCGCAAGTGGGGCTAGACTGGGGGTGACTCACAGAGCTCGCGGAGTTGGGCTGGTCCGGCGCGTTCCACTCGTTTCTGTGTCGTCTCTGCTGACTTACTTGGCCTTTGTTGTCTCAGGCTGCTCGCTCAAACCCGCAGCAGGGCTTGGGCGCTCTCAGGAGTCTTCTTTTGTGTCGGCCCTAAAACCTCGAACCTGTTGTTGCTTGTTTGTCGTTGTAGGTTCATTGTTCAAAGATTTATTCGTTTTTTGTTACTCTTGGAAATGCAAATAGTACTCTGGTATCACAGCTCACACTTCTCAGGGTCACACTGTCTCCTGGCACGGCCGCTCCAGACCCGTCGCCATCTTAAAAGTAGAAATAACCATATTTAACCAGTACTTTGTTGATAGACTCTCATGGTCATTCCTGGAATTAAAGGTATTTTATTTTAAAAAGAAAAGCGGTAGTTTAGAAAGCAGTGAGGAATGGGAAAGTAAAGTGGTATAGCTGCAGTAGAAAACAATTTGGTGGTTTCTGAAAAAATTAAACACAGATTACCATTAGATCCAGCAATTCCATTTCTAGGTATATACCCAAAAGAATTGAAAGTAAAGAATAAACAAATATTAGCACACCAGTGTGGATAGCAGCATTATTCACAATTGCCAAAAGACAGGAGCAACCCAAATGTCCATCAACAGATGAATGGATAAACGTGTGTATATACAGATAATAGAATATTATTCAGCCTTAAAAAGGAATGAAATTCTGAAACCTGGATGAACTTTGAAAACATTATGCTAAGTGAAATAAGCCAGACATACCAAATATGATTCTTATTATAGGCGGTACCTAGAAATTACCAAGTGTTGTGGGGAGGGAGAGATGGGGAATTATTGTTTAATGGGTATTGTATTTCTGTTTGGGATGATGAAAAATTTCTAGAAATGTATAGTGGTAGTAGTTGGACAACATTGTCAATGTTCTTGATACCACTGAATTAAACACTTAAAAATGGCCAAAATGGTAAATTTTATGTCATGTATATTTTTTACCATAATTAAAAAAAATGTTGAAAGGGTTAATTTTATGTTATGCATATTTTACCACAATATTTTTAAAAATGAGGTAGTGTTATACGGGATTGACTTAGAAAGATGCCAGTAGTATTTTCAGGGGAAGAAAGTGTATGTGTATATGGAGGTGGGAGATTGGAGGGTGGGTGGGTTACTCTTTTTTTTTTTTTTTTTTTTTTTTTTTTGAGAATTTCTCTCTGTATATTTGTTTATAAACAGGGAAAAAGATGTTGACTATATATACATATTTGTTAATAGTGTTTACCTATGAGGAGTAGGACTAGGGAAGGAACTTCATACATTTTTACAGTGTTCCAAGTTTTTATAATAAACATTTCTTTTTTATAAAACAGCATTATTGAGATATAATTCACATACCATACAATTCACCCATTTAAAGCATACAGTCCAGTGGCTTTTAGTGTATTCGAAGCATTGTGCATCCTCATCACAATCAATTTTACAACATTTTCATCACCCCCTAAAGAAACTTCCTACTCCTTAGCTATAACCACTCAATCCCCTGTCGTGACCCTAGGCAACCACTAATTTCCTTTGTCTTTATGAATTTACCTATTGCTGTTATTTCAGATAAACGGAATCATCTAAATGTGGCCTTTTTTATCTGGCTTCTTTCATTTAGCATTATGTTTTCAAGGTTCATTCATGTTCAAGCATGTATCGATACTTTATTCCTTTTTGTGGCACAATAATCTTCCATTTTATGTATCTGTTCATCAGTTGATGGACATTTGAGTTGTTTCCACTTTTTGACTATTATGAGTAATGCTGTTAGGAGCAATCGTGTACAAGTTTTTGTGTGAACAAACATGTAAATTTCTCTTGACTATATACCTAGGAGTAGAATTGCTGGTTCAATTGCTGGAAGGCATTACTGCCACCACCCTCCACCCTCCCAGCCACTAGGCTGATTCCTGTAGTAGCATCAGGCAGGTCCCCACCAAAGTCACTGTGATCCTGTTAAATTATCAAAGGTACCACAAGGTCGATTGCTTTAATGAAGAATATCTTACTTCCTTACATCAAAGACAATGTTAAGATTATCTGCAAAGATAGTTCTTTCCTCTTGGAAAGAAGAGGAATGCCAGCAGTACATCAGTCCTTCGAGAAAACAGGCTGAAGAAGATTCCTACCAGGATGGGGCTGTTCTGATCCCTGCAGCCTGGGAATGGGGCAGATGACCTACCACAGGTGATCCAGGCTTTAGTAGGTAATGTGTGATGGCAGATGTCTCTGGACTGAAAGACTGCTGTACTGAAACAGCTGCAGGGCTACATGTGTAAGGCAGCATTCACAACTGAGCACGTGACAGCATACAACTTGAAGATGTAGTTCCAGCATTCAGGAAATGGAGAGAGGCTGGAACGAAGGTGGATATCTATTCCTCAGGGAGTGTAGAAGCACAGAAACTATTATTTGGGCATTCTACAGAGAGATTCTTGAGCTTGTTGATGATTACTTTGATACCAAAATTGGACACACAGTGGAGAGTGAGAGTTACAGATTACAGACAGCACTGGGTGTTCAATGAATATCTGTTTCTGACAGATATTACTCTAGAGGCTAGTGCTGCCTAGCTGTGATGTGAGACATGGCAATGTGGGACTACAGATGATAAGACTGTAGGTGCATTGTATTCTTCAGTGAATTGTACCTTCCTCTTCAACCTTGAGAATGATTTCTAAAGAAGACCACACTGTTCCTCAGTGTTGTCCCTGTAGTCTAGTTTTATTCTAATGGTAAAAGTAACTTACTTTAAATATATATATATTACATACATACACATATGTATGCAGTGTATATAAAAGTAACTTACTTTAAATATATATATATACACATACATACACATATGTATGCAGTGTATATGTGTATGTTCAGATTACCTTCTGCAGGTATGTAAGTGGAAAAAGATCTCAATTCAGTGAAACAGAAACGAATCTGTTAAAATCTATTATAGGCAGAAATTGTTCGAAACTTCAACACTTAACCTTATTGAAGGCAAAATGTAGCAGTAGAAGAAAATAATAAAATACAAATGAAATATGTTACGTTTATGAGGTTGTGTACCAAATGGAAAGCTCGTTTTGAGAAGTTATTCAGAAGCCTTGCTATTTTATTTGGAAGTTTTCAAAGGATTACTCCTACTAATAATTAACTGCACCTGTTTGATTGTGAGGGAATGAAACTTAGAAAATTACAAAGCTGCATGTCACAATATTTCCCTACCTATATACAAAAGACAAGGGTATTATTTGCTTGTACTCCAAAAGAGAGCAGAATTAGAAAACACTTCAGTCTTGAGCAATTGAGTATATGTTATTTAAGAAGAAACTTGCAAAACATCCTTGCACCCACAAAAACAATTGCCTTACTAATGAAAAAGGTGAACAGCTAAAATAGAGATGTGGTATTTAGTGTTTCACAAAGGTTTTTTTTTTTTATTACAAAATAGTTCTGATCTTAACAATTATTATAGATTTTATAGTTGCCTTTTTGACAACTTTCATAACACAGTTTGAGAAAATGTGTTGATTGCTATTTACTGTTTTTAAAAGTGGTTTTACTGAAGTATGTCCATATGGTCAAAAAGAACCCAAATGTTATATTTTCCTCAGAAATGGATGTGAGAAATGTAAATTTTATAATAGTATTATTTATCCTGGTTTAATTCAAACAAGATGTCATGTCACTTTTATGTTGTGATTAGTAAAAACTTCTTCCTTCTCTGCCTCCTCCTTCTTCCTTTTATTAAAAAATATATATATTGGGAAGCTTTGACTTAGTCTGGTAGGGGTAGGGGTCAAGGAAGGCTTCTCTGAAGAAGTGATGACCAAGATAATATCCAAAGCCTTAATTTTGTAAAGTGAAAAAGAATATTCTGGGTAGAGAAGAGCATGTGCACTAGATTTAGGGTTTGAGGAAACATGTTCTTGAGAAAGTATTGTGCCAGGGCCCTGGGAAGGAGGCAGGATATAATGGTGGAGACTATAAAGGAGTCCAAGACAAAGGAGCCAGAGACACTGAAAGAATACCTGGAGAATGAGTGTTTGAGGAAGAGAGTTTCCAGAAGGACGAATATTGTCAAATGTCACCAAAGGAACAGATATTAGAAATGACAATTAGAAATGTCATTAGATCTAGTAGCACAGTAAGGTTATGGGTGACATCAGCAAGAGCAATTTTGATGGATAAGGGACTAAAGCTATATTAGAATGGGCTCAGAGATGAGAAGTCTGTGAAGAAGTTGGCTTGAAGAGGGAGGAGAAAGGTAGCTGGAAGGAGATAAAGAGTAGACGGAAAATTTTTTAAATATTTATTAATGGGAAAGACTTAAGCCCAGTTAAAGCTGTAAGAAGAATTATTTAGAGGGAGAAGTTGATTATATGAGAGAAAAGGGCTAATCAGTACTTTATGGTTCCTGAGATGGCAGGAAGTACCAATCTAAGGCAGAGGATTAGCCTTAGATAATGGAGAGAAATCTCCTCTATAGGAACTAGAATGAACTAGAAGGAACAGATAGGTGGAAATGTAGGCAAGTCGTATGGCTCTGTTTTATGTATCTGTTCATCAGTTGATGAACATTTGGTTGTTTTCACGTTTTGACTGTTATTAATAATGCTGCTATGTGAACTTCTCTGTACAAGTTTTTGCATGGACATACTATTTAATTTCTTATATACCTACAAGTTGAATTGCTGGGTCATATGGTAACTCTATATTTAACATTTTGAGTAAGTGCCAAACTGTTTTCTGAAGTGGTTGCACTATTTTACATTCTCACCAGCAATGTATGAGGGCTTTGTTTTTTTCATATCCTCGCCAACACATGCTATTGTCCATTTTTTAATTACACCCATCTTAGTGGGTGTGTTTGGGTATCTTTTAAAAACTTATTTAAGCAAGTAATACATGAATTTTTTTCTTATAAAGTATTAGCATTAAGTAGATCAAGCTAAAGACCCTATCACTTCCATCCCAGTGTTCCTATACCTTTCCTGGAAGGAACAATGTTTTCAGTTTGGTATGTATTTTTCTAGAATTTTTAGAAATTCTCAACGTAGACAGCTTTAAGTAGCCTCTTTAAGTTCAACTGTTTTCATAGAAATTCTATAATGAGATTAGTTTTTTCCTTTCCAACTTCTAACTACAAAATGTGACATCTTTTTAAAATTATAATATTTGTTAGTAAAAATTATACCAAACAACAAATGAACTAAATGCCTTTAGATAAATGTTTATTGTCCTATATATTATGGCTTTTATAATTACAGCTATTGGTCTTCGTGTCATGGAACATCATCAGTAAAACCAACTTTCTTCTTATTCTTAGTGCCTGGCTCTCTGGCTATGAAAACCCTGTGGTGTCTCGAATTAATATGAGAATACAAGATCTAACAGGACTAGATGTTTCCACAGCAGAGGAATTACAGGTAGGTAATTACATTATCCTTAAGTTAGTTTTACACTTCTTCAAGAGATGCTTCAGGGCCGACCCTGTGGCTCACTCGAGAGAGTGTGGTGCTGGGAGCGCAGCGGTGCTGGGAGCGTCGAGGCCGCAGGTTCGGATCCTATATAGGGATGGCCGGTGCGCTCACTGGCTGAGCGCGGTGTGGGCGACACCAAGCCAAGGGTTACGATCCCCTTACCGGTCACAAAAAAAAAAGATGCTTCAGATGAGATTTCCTGACACTGAACAGGCAGTCCTTGATTTGCATTATAGTTTGGGACTGTAAAAAATGACCCTGGATGTTGAAACTGTACAAAGTGATTTTAATAACCAATGGGAAATATTATGATTGTTCTGTGACCTTTAAAATTCTTTGTCAAAACATAAAAAACTTACTGTTGAATATAAATGTATAGGGTAATGAAAAATATGTAACACTAGTATTTATTAAGTACACTGTTATTTTTTTTCATTCCCCAAGCCTCAGTCTGTCAGGTGGCCAGGGCATATTTTGTTCTTTTTTAAAAAGAAAAAAGTAAATTATTTAAAATTGAGGTATAATTCACATACCATAAAATTTACCCTGAATTTAGTTTATTCACATGGTTGTGAAACCATTACCATGATATCATTCAAACATTGTCAACACTCTAAAAGGAAATCCTGTCCATACCCTTTAAGCAGTAATTCTTCATTCCTCCTCCCTGAGCCCCTGGCAACCACTAGTCTACATTCTCTGTCTATAAATTTGCTTATTCTGGATATTTTATATAAATGGAATAATACAGTATGTGGCCTTTTGTATCTGGCTTCACTTAATTTAATGTTTTCAAGGTACATCCATGTTGTAGCATTTATCAGTACTTTACTCCTTTTCACGGCACAATGATATTCCATTTTATAGATATACCACATTTTATGTATCTGTTCATCAGTTGGTGGACATTTGGGTTGTTTCTGCTTTTTGGCGATTATGAATAATGCTACCATGAGTATTCATACACAAATTTTTATGTAAAAAAACATTTAAATTTCTCTTGGGTATATACCTAGAAGTGGAATTGCTGGGTCATATGATAACTCTTATGTTTAACATTTGAGGAACTACCAAACTGTTTTCCACCAGCAATGTATGAAGTTTCCAGTTTCTTCACATTCTTTTCAATACTTGTCCATTTTTTTAAATTATAGCTATCCTAATGGGTCTGAAGTGCTATCTCATCATGGTTTCATTTGCATATCCCTGATGGTTACTAATGTTGAACATCTTTTCATGTGTTTAATGGTCAATTCTATATTGTCTTTGAAAAAATATCTATTTAAATCTGTTGCCCATTTTTAAATTGAGTGACTTGTCTTTTTATTGTTGAGTTATTAAGTATTCTTTATATATTCTGAACACTAGAACCTTATCAGATATATGATTTGCACATATTTCTCCCATTCTGTGAATTGTCTTTTCATTTTTTTTTTTTAAATATCCCCCAAAACTCCCTTTTCACTTTCCTGATGGTGTCTTTTTGGCAAAAAAGTTTTTAATTTTGACGGAGTCTAATTTGTTTATTTTTTTGGTTGCTTGTGTTGTCTAAGAAACCATTGCCTAATCCAAGGTCACAAAGATTTACACTTGTGTTTTCTTCTAAGAGTTTTATAGTTTTATCTCTTATGTTCAGGTCTTTGATCCATTTTGAGTTAATTTTTGCATGTGGTATGACAAGGCAGGTGGATGTCTTTTGTCGGAGCACCATTTGCTGAAAAGACCATTCTTTCATGATTGAATTGTCTTAGCAATTGCACTTCAATTTTATCAATTGTCTTGATAATTTAAAACATTAAAAATAGAGAATTACAGAGTTTTATTTCTTTGTGAAAACTTATCAAGAATAGTTTGAACAGTACTTCTCGTCACATAAATTAAAATTATAGACTGAGCATCTTTTCTGTGTTTTGATGAATTGTCATACTTCTAAGTTTGGATCAACTTCCAACATTTTATCCTTTGTGCTTTCAGTGTTGAGAAGTATCTCTAAGGGATCTGTTACTGTGAAGATTTTTTTTTTCCAGGACATCTTCATCCTTTTCGTGGCAATCACTTTCCTCATGTTAATAAATTTGGCTTCATTAAGTTTCTCTGGCTGAATATCTAGAGTCTAACAGCAACAGTGCAAACATTTCCCTTGTCAACCTTGTCAGCTTCTATATCTCTGATTACATTTGATTTGAATTTCACTTCCAGAACTATCACTTTTCATTTCTTTGCTATACTTTCATCTTTGCCAATTCCCTCTTTCATTGATCCATTTTTGTAACATGTTACATGGGTTCATCACTGGGAGATAGGGAAGAAACATGCTTTGCTGTCTATGTGTGAATTGAATAACAGATGTGCAGTGACCAATCATTGACAAACTTTGAAAGAGGTGATATGATTGGTCATTGATTGTGATCTGTAGCTTTTATTTACATAGTGATTTGTGGACTGAAAAACTAGCAGCAAAGCTTGTACTTTATGCAATTACTCACAGTTAATATACCATGGTAAACAAAATTTGATCTGGGTTGTTGGGGGACTGATGTTAACAGTTAACTTGAGATTTGCACATATTGTAACTGTGCAGAGCAGTACAGCCTATATTTAATTTGCTTAATTAAGTTGTCATTTATTCCATGGTAATCTACAACTTCCATGGAATTCACCTGATTATTATTAAAAACTCTTCGGTGTGTCATTTTCTTCCCTAATGTGTATTTACCCTAACCTACTTAACCTTCACAAGCTCTTTCAAGCTTACTAATACATTTCTGCTTAACAGGCAGATCCAAGAGTGTCTATAACTTAGGAAGTGAAATGTCCAGAGTAATAATAATTTACATATGACTTTGACGTTGCTGTGGGTAACACTTTTAATTATTTTCTCGTATTTTATCAGAAATGCTGTTTTAAGTATGTTCGTTTTTCATTTATGTCAGCATTTTACCATGTTGTGATGGAGAGAAGGAGTTAAAGAAAGTACTGTTCTCATTTCGCAAATAAGAAAACTGAGATTGTATCCAAAGTTACATACATTGTAACTTAAGAGAGCAGGAAATTGAACTCAAATCAAATATTTCTCTTATTTCCTTTTGTTGCCTCATACAGGGACATTATCATAACCTTGTTATAACCTCATTGTCCTTCAGCAGGAATAATTGGTATTATTAACTTCTTCCCTTTTTTATTTTAGCAGGGACAAAATTAAGAGTTCGCCAGTATTTGGGGCTTTGGAAAACATTTTTTGATTTAAATTCAAAAGGAAAGTGTTCAGTGAAAATAAATAATAGAAATTTCAAAATTTCAGTTTAAGATATATATTAGGAAAAAGCATGTCCCCTAAACATTTGCTAAAGAAAAGCATATTAACTAAGGTTCCCTTTTCATTTCTCTAGAAGTACCTAACCATGATATATGAAGCCAAAATGGGGCTCATGGATTTTTTGAGTAGTACTCTTGTAGTTCTTTCATTCATGCTTTATTTCTTTCCTTCAGGTAGCAAATTATGGAGTTGGAGGACAGTATGAACCCCATTTTGACTTTGCAAGGGTAAGTAAAGAAATGGAGCACCTAAGAAATCCACTGAAGCTTATCCATTGTTAGAGAAAAAATTAGAATGACACTTGTTAAAGATGGTGTATTGGTCTGTTTTCTGTTGTTCATAACAAAATACCTGAAACTTGGTAATGTATAAATAAATAAAATTTATTTCTTACAGTTTTGGAGGCTGAAAGTCCAAGGTCAAGGGGTGCATCTGGTGAGGGCCTTCTTGGTGGTGGGAACTCGCTATAGAGTTCTTTGGCAATGCAGGCAATCACATGGCAAGAATGGAAAGAGCAGTTTTTACTTGCTCACTTACTGTCCTTATAAAGCCAACAGTCTACTCCCTGATAACCCATTAGCCCATTAATCCACAAATGGATTAATCCATTCACAAGGGCATAGTCCTCAATATCCAACCACTTCTTAAAGGCCCCACCTTTCAAATAACATAGTTGGATTTAATTCCAACGTGACCTTTGGAGGGGACATTCAACCCAAAGCAAATGGTAAGGCAGATAGATAGGTAGAGGAACCACTGCAATGGAATTTTGCAGTTAGGGAGGGAGATTAGGCTCAACTCCAAATACCACAAGGAAAAATGGTAATTTATAGTCAAGAACAGGGGTAGTGGTCAGTAGATGGAAATTCCTAAAAGGTAAGGGGAGATTCTGGCTAAAGTGACCTCACAGGATTCTTGCTGAAGTCAGGGCAGGGTGATCAGACATCACCTGGGAGATAATGGAAGATGAGGAACCCAATTAGATATCAAGAGTGATCAGATATTGAGAATGGAGGATTCTGGCTAAACTGACTTAGCAGGATTCTTCCTAAAATTGGACAATACAGAGAGAAACACAAAAGTCCCGAAGTCAGTGCCTAATTGAGAGGAGTTCAGACAGCCCAAGTAGAGGTTGGTCAAGGAGAGAATCTTTGTCAACATTGTAAATTCTGTTCTTTTAGTATTAAAAATTCATAGCCTATTAGGAATTTGTGGAAGCATGGTGGAATAGATATTTTGTGAAGCCTCTTTAGAAGTAAAAAAAACCACCTAGATGCCCAATAAAAGTATTTAAGATATTTTACATGCCTTGATGGGCCTGGAAGAATGTAGAAGATATTCCCAAAGGCAAACTGAACAAAGAAAACCTAGGGACTAAAATTAGAGAGTAAAGGGGGGCAAAAAAGCGGAGGCTAGAGGCTAATGACTTCAGGAATTTAGAGTTTTGGGGATTAACAGCACTGTGAGATACCTGCCACAGTGCAGGCTACTGAACCTGAGACCCCTGCCTAAAAGCAAAATCTCCAGAGGATTATTACATCTTCGGTGAAAGAAAGAATGGGTTTGAAAATCTGCTTTGAGGCAGAAGCCTTAGGGAGAGCTGTCTGTTTCTGTGCTGGCTGGGGTATAGTATGTATGGGGAGCTGCTTCTGGGAGTTTTAAAGTATAGACCTGTCTGCACGTGAATCTGGGATTTGAATTTTTACTACCCTGGAAGAGGAGAAATTTAATTTAAAGTTATTCATTTATTTGGTAGTGCTCCTTTATACCTGGCAGAAACAAACTCCTATCTTCCCTGGAGAGAAATTCTCATTCTGGCACCTCAGCTAAATATGAATTCTTTAGGGAAAAGAAAAAAAAAAAACAGTACCAACTGGTAATAAGACACCATTGGTGAGACTGAAACAACCAACAGATTTAGAAATCCCCAGTATTTTTTAATTTTTTAATTTTTTTTTTGTCTTTTTTCGTGTCTGGCAACGGTTCGCAACCCTCAGTGTCACGCCCGTACCGGACCGGCAACGGGATCGCAACTCGGTGCTGCGCCCGCACCTTGCTCAGCCAGTGAGCGGGAACCAGTCTGTATGTGGGATCCGAACCCTCGGCGGGAGCGCCACCGCACTCCCAAGCGGCACACTGTAGCAGTGCGCCACCGGGCCAACCCGAAATCCCCAGTATTTTTGATACTGGAATTATCAGATATAGAATGAAAAATAACTACATAATATTTAAAAAATAAAAGATGAGACAAAAACGAACAACTCTCAAAATGATTTGGCATATTTGAAAAATAAATAAATGGAAGTTATAGATTAAAAAAATTGTTGAAATTTAAGTTTTAATAGATAAGTTAAAAACAGAAACAGATAAAGTGAATTAGCTGATAGATCTGAAGAAATTAAAACAATGCATTTTGAGAGATAGGAAGATAAAAAACCCAGAGATATAAGGAGAATAGAAAGCTTAGAGAATCAGTAATAAAACAGTTTGAAAAAGCTTGTGCTTGCCACGTGCTCTTGGTTTAAGACTAAATATTGGTCCCTTTTTTAGTTCCTTAATATATTCAGCTACAAATTATGTCATTACTGAATCTTAACTAACTTATTTACATAGAATTCTAAGGAATGTGCCACATATTTTCACAGAGTTCTTGATCTATTACCATTTCTAAATAGGTGTAGATTCTTTTGAAAGAAAACATAGTCTGTATTGTGTTATAACTCTTTACTGGCTTAATCTCAGAATCCTAGACTCTTTCTGTGTAGACCTACAAAGAATATATTTTTCATCTCCTTTCCTTCTATTTTCAGCTATTGAAAAATGTGAGTCTTTGATGATGTGAAAGACTGTACAGTTAAAGCCCTGACATTACAAAACTGAATTGTATTTCTTTTTAGCTTTTTATTTTGAAATAATTATCAATTTATAGGAAGTAGCAAATAAACATACACGTTTGTTTGGAGGAGGTTCCCATGCTCCCTTCACCCAGTGTCTCCCAATGTTAATATCTTGCATAACTACAGTAAACTATCAAAACCAGAAATTTGGCATGGGCACCACAGAGCTTATTCATTTTTCACCGGTTACACTTGAACTTTTTTCTGTGTGTGGCTCTATGTAGTTTTATCACATGTGTAGCTTTATGTAAGTACTACCACAATCAAGATACATCATACCATCACCACAGGGTTCCCTTGCAGTATATACATACACCCTTTCATTTCCCTAACTGCTGGTAACCAACAATCTGTTCTTCTTCTCTATAATTATATTATTTCACTAATGTTATATAAATGGAATTATACAATATGTATCCTTTTGAGATTGTCTTTTTTCACTCAGCATAATTCCCTTGAGTTTCATCCAAGTTCTTATGGTATCAATAGTGTGTTCTTTTTATTGCTGAGTAGTATTCCATGGTATGGACATACTGCAATTTAGCCATTCACCCACTGAAGAACATTTGGATAGTTTTCAGTTTTCAGCTATTACAAATAAAGATGTGTATAAACTTCTGTGTAAAAAATACGTTTTTATTTTTCTGGGATAAATGCCAAAAGATTATAATGTATTTTAATTTAGAGTTAAATAGCTAGATATCAGTTTTCAAGCCTGATTAAAGTGCTGATTGTCCAAAAGAAAGACAATGGTAATAGCAGTAAATATTTGAGTGGTCATGAGTGCAAAGTAAATCTCAAGGTAAATTTTTACTCACAAAGAGTAAGTTTCATGAATGTAGCTAAGAGGTGGCTCTCATTTCTTGTTTTTTTGGAAGCTGAAATTACAGGTGTTGATTTTTTAAATAATCTGCAGTTAGTAGATATTGGTTCTCATTGGTTAGGCTAAAAAATCTGTTTTTTTTTTCCCCTCATGGTCTTGTTAAAACTATCCAGTGTATAAGTTGAATCAACAAGCATTTGAGTGCCTCATGTATATAGCGCAGTGGACATTATAAGGGAACCTTTGGGGATTGTTTTTGGCATATTCTTCAGTATATTATTACTGATGTTTAGTTGCCACTGGAGTATTTGCATTACTGAATTTTACACCATTGAATTTGACATGTTTTATTCACAGAAAGATGAGCCAGATGCTTTCAAAGAGCTGGGGACAGGAAATAGAATTGCTACTTGGCTGTTTTATGTAAGTTATGGCTAAAATTTTTATTTTAAGTTGGGATTTGATCACATGACTCACTTATTTTGATGTGTTCAGTTAAATTTGTTCTGTGTAGCTCTTATTTAGCATCCTAGCTTAAAGTTTTTACAACTGAGTAAAGAGGGTTAAGAATTTTTTTGCATTTGTGCCTTTTTCAGATTGTGATATAGATGTTCATTGTAGATACTTTAAAATTTTCTTCTTCAGGTTTTTTCAAATTATTGATAGTTCCACTACTTGGAGGTAGTTATTAGATTTTGGAGTACAGACTATCTAGTAGTCATATATAACATGTTCATATAAGAATCTCTGTATATTTTACATGAATTTATGTATACATACACAGTTTAGTAAACTTTTCTTCTGAATTAAATTTGTTATTGAAGTATGTTGAAGTATATCATATCAGAAAAGTGCACAAATCATAAGTGTATAGGTTGATTATTATCTCTCACGGTTGTGAGGTTGGATGGACTCAACTCATGGTTCATTCTCCAGATCGCTCATGCCCTTGCAGTCATATGCCTGGCACTGTGATCATCTTGAAGGCTGAGATTGAGGCTGCCTGAATACCTATTATTTTGGCCAATCCATGTGGCCTGGCTTTCTCACAGCATGGTGACTGGATTGTAAGAGCAAGCATCCCAAAAGAAAATGCAAAAGTATATGGCGGGCCGGCCCGGTGGCGCCCTCGGTAGAGTGCGGCGCTTGGGAGCGCGGCAGTGCTCCCGCCGAGGATTCCGATCCCATATGGAGACCGGTCCGCTCACTGGTTGAGCGCGGTGCAGGCGCAACACCGAGGGTTGCAATCCCGTAACCGGTCACGAAAAAAGACAAAAAGGAAAAAAAAAAAAGTATATGGCATTTTTATGACCTACCCTCAGAAGTCACATAGTACCATTTCTGCTGTATTTTATTAATTGAAGCAATTACAAAGGTCTGCTTAGCTCCAAGGGGAGGGAACATAGATCCTACCATGCATGACAAATGTCAGTGTCACATAAAAAGAGCATGTAGGATGAGACATATTGGGATGTATTATATTTGGAAACACAATCTGCCACTATGTTGTAACCTGCATTAACTTAAAAGGATGTATTTTATAGCTAGACATAATTTTGTTTATGGAGCATAAGCATCCCTTACCTCCCTCCATTTGAATTACATGTGGGTACTTCAAAAAGTTTGTGGGAAAATAGAATTAAAAGATAATACAAATCTTTCCATGAACTTTTTAAAAGTACCTTCATATGAAAGTGTGTCTCTTTTTGCTGTCTGTAGTATCTTACTCCCTACTCTGTTTTCTTCTTCTCCCCCTGCCACCTTTCCCATTTATCTTTTCCCCTATTTTCTCCATTCTGCTTTCCCTTCTTCCCTATCCACATCTCTCTCTCTATCCCTCCCTCCCTATTTGCATCCCTCTCACAACTCCATCCTGTTTCCAAAAGGATGTAAGATACATTATAAGGATTCATATAAAATAAATTAAAAATGAGAGCAAAATATTACAAAGGAGAAAAAGCAGAAGAGAAGTTGTTACCGTGTACAAACTCATGCTGTGAAGGCTTGTAATGCTTTCCAGAGCTGAGCTCTCCATAGAGGTTGTACCAGTTTATATCCCACCTTTAAATGCGATATGTTTGTGAAATATGTTTGTCAGACTTTTTGATCTGTATCTTTCACATATTAGATTGGCAGCTATTGTGATTTCAATTTCTCTTGTTATTGTGATTTGCATTTCTCTTATTAGAGAGGTTGAGCATCTTTTCAGATGTTTAAGAACCATTAGTATTACCTATGTTCCTGTTTTTCCTTGTAATTCTTTGCGTTATGAATAGTAACGCTATATTATTTGGCCCACTATCCATATGTTAGGTTATTTGACTATTAGATTATGTTAGATTACTTGATTATTATTTCCCCCCTTAATGTACACACCCTGCCTATTTTTCTACAATAATTATATAGCATTTTAATTAGATTAGTCTTCATTTTTTCCATTATTTAATTATTATTCTGAGATGGGCCACGTAGTATCTATAATTACTTTTCCTGTCATGCACAACTTAGTTTTTCTCCAAAGTTAATTTTTTTCATTGCTTAAGAACTGTTAGCTTTCTATTATTAATTATATGTTTATCTTTGTAAAATACTCTTCATCTCATTTAATGCATTTTACCTTGATTTAAACGGTGTCTCATATAGGATCATACCCTGTTTTTGGGGGGACAGTATTTGCCTGGCAAATCTTATCTTTTTGTTTTCATTATTTGTTAAGTCATGTGTTATAGATGCAACTCTTTGATACAACATATAGTTGGGGTTTTGTGATACAATCTGAGTCTGTCTATAAATCGATTTATGTTGCTTTTAAAAACTTCACTATATGATCTGTGTTTTCTTTGCCTTGTTTTGGTGCATATGCTTCTTCAGTTAACTTAGAAGGTTTGTGATTATTCTAGATTAACTTTATGACTATAGCTTTATACAATACTTTACTCTTCTAATTTTTAATTAATGTGTTGATTCCTTACCGTGAAAAATGACAAAACTGATTTTAGTTTATTGTTATTTTTCTCTTGATGTTAATTTATATTTTGTTTAAATTTATTTATTTAAGTAAATATTTATTGATCACATTCTATTCTTTTTTTTTTTTTCCGTGTCCGGCAACGGATCACAACCCTCAGTGTCGCGCCCGTACCGGACCGGGACCGGCAACGGGATTGCAACCCTCGGTGTTGCACCCGCACCTCGCTCAGCCAGTGAGCGGGAACCAGTCTGTATGTGGGATCCGAACCCTCGGCGGGAGCACCACCGCGCTCTCAAGCGGCGCACTGTAGCAGTGCGCCACCGGTCCGGCCCAATCACATTCTATTTTTTTTTTCCTTTTTGTCTTTTTTCGTGACCGGCAACGGATCGCAACCCTCAGTGTCGCGCCCGTACCGGACCGGGACCAGCAACGGGATCGCAACCCTCGGCGTTGCCCCCGCACCTCGCTCAGCCAGTGAGCGGGAACCGGTCTGTATGTGGGATCCGAACCCTCAGCGGGAGCGCTGCCGTGCTTCCCAAGTGGCGCACTGCTACCGGGCCGGCCCGCAATCCTATTCTATTCTTGAGGTACTATTCTAGACACTAAAGATCACCAGTGAACAAAACAGGTGAAAATTCCTGCCTCCATTCTAGTGCAATAAAATATATATTTATACTTCTGTATTACTTGATTTATCAGTTTTAGGTCATCCCTCATACCCCCCAGCTAATAAAAGAAGTACTCATGCCAAATTTATATCCCCATCTCCCTTTCTGACTTTTCATTAATCATTCCTTTGCTTTTTGTAGGTTTTTTTAAAACATATATGGCACATATATGTGGCATTTTGTTTTGTTTTTGAAAACCTAAGTAGCATGCACAAACTTAGCTATGTAAGTAGTAGTCTATATGTTACCAATATTCAAATATTCAATATCAAACCCTCCTCACAATGGCATGCTTTACTTTATTTTACCAGTGTCTTGATAATATTGTCCTATCTGTTATAGATGAGTGATGTGTCTGCAGGAGGAGCCACTGTTTTTCCTGAAGTGGGAGCTAGTGTTTGGCCCAAAAAAGTAAGCTTGGCTTATTTGTTATTGTTTTTTGGTCTCTCTATTTTTTCCCGAGGAAGAAATGCACCTGTATTTCATGGTTTAATTAATGAATTGCATTTTTAAAGGTAGTATACTTAAGGACTACATTATCTCTAGGTAAAATTTTGGGTTTATGGAACAATTTACCATGAGTACCTAGAGTAAAGAACAACCAGGGATTAGCATTTAAAAGTTTTCATTTCTAAAATGGGTTTCATGTGATGTTTTCCCCTTCCTCTTGTTATTGTAAGATTTGTTAGCTTTGTTTTGGCAAATACTCTTTGTCAAACAGCCTTGGAGTATTTATTCTTTCACATGATCAAGAAAAGTTTTTAAAGTAATATAATCACATTTTCAGAATTATATTAGAGGAAGATATAATGCTGCCATAGAGGAGTCCTTCATAAAGAACAGAGGAAAATTTAAGTACTGCAAAAAGTGATAACCTGACATTTTATTTGGGGATAATTTTGAATTGTTTTCCGTAGGGAACTGCTGTTTTCTGGTATAATCTGTTTGCCAGTGGAGAAGGAGATTATAGTACACGGCATGCAGCCTGTCCAGTGCTAGTTGGAAACAAATGGGGTAAATACTTCTTATATTCTGTGAATAGAATTTGTGATTTTTATCTCATATTTTGAAACTATTATAATCTACATCTTAAAACAAAAACAAAACTCCTCACAGATTTGCCTAACATGACTTTAACATTGTATGGGATTCAACCAAGCAAGTTCCTGATCTTAATATAAATTTGCATTCAACAGTTCAAAAGTTTGATGACAGATTTTATTAACTCTATTTCTACTTGTTATTCCACAAAACATTAATTGACTCAAAGTTGACTAAGACAGTATCTTCACCTCAAGGGTGAATCTGAGTAGAGTGTAGTACATACTAACACAGAGATGCAAATAAAAGATGGTGACTCCCTACATTTGGGAGCCTTCTTCAGAGCTTAATTTTTAAATTTGGTCCTGAAGATAGAATAGTAGTTTTCCAGGAATGTTAGGGAGTAGGGCCAGGACTAGTGTGAGGCTAGAGTAGCACTTAAGGTGCAAAATTTAAAGAGGCATTCACTCGGGGTCATGCAAGTGCAGGATTGGCAACATTAAAAAAAAGTAAAAAGAAACAGGTGAAATTATTTTTAATATATATTAATTATTCCCATATATTCATTTCAGTATGTCACTAGCCCCATTTCAAGTGCTCAAGTGGTTACCATGTAAGACATATAAGACATAGCAATATTAAGGAGTGAGGCCTGATCATCAGGATTTAAAAATTCTGCCCCCTGCCCACCCACCTGTGATTATAGTGTTTGAGAACCACTGGACTAGAATGAGGAGAAGCTAGTTGGGGAGGGATCAGTGTAGAAGGCTGTTTTCTGTTGTCTAAGTGGGTGATGATGGTTGGAGAGCAAACAGTAGACTCAAGAAACACAGAAGGGTATTTCAAAAAGTTTGTGGAAAAATAAAATTGAAAGATAATATGAATCTTTCCCCGAACTTTTTTTTTTTTTTTTAAGATGACCGGTAAGGGGATCTTAACCCTTGACTTGGTGTTGTCAGCACCACGCTCTCCCAAGTGAGCTAACTGGCCATCCCTATATAGGGATCCGAACCCGCGGCCTTGGTGTCATCAGCACCACACTCTCCCGAGTGAGCCACAGGCCGGCCCTTTACATGAACTTTTTGAAGTACCCGCATATGAGGAAAATCGACAGGATTTGATGAATAAAGACTGGATACAAAGGTTGAGAAAGGTAAAGAGGAGTTGAGAGGATTTGAGAATTAAGGTTCTTGGTTTAAATATTTTGTACATGTTGATGCCATTGGTTGGGCTCTGTGACACCAGAGATAAAGGAATAGAAAATTATGTTCTTTTGGGGTACATTTTTAAAAAGTATCTTGGAACCAAGGAAATGTAATGAGCACATAATAGAGTGATTGATCAGAGAATTGCTCCTTTAGTGTGCAGAGGTCGTGTTCATTTTAAAAAGGGTCTTTGTATTTTGGAGGTTGTACTTTGAAAGCAGGTAAAACAATGTTTTGCTCTATCTATGCCTGTTTCTTAATTCCATTTGTGTCTCATTTCAAGCCTCACATTGAACATCTTTAGGAGATGCACATAGCCCCTTAAATATACACCGTACAAATGTATACATACATTTGTATACACACGTATGTGAAAATAAAACCAACTGTGTTTTCAACATTTAGTCATTTTCAAGTAGCATCTGGTTTTGGTCTTGAACTTTAGCCTATGTTGAAATTTTGTTATAGACCTAGCTTTTAGAAGTTAATTACGTTTTAATTAGATAGGGGGAAAATTAACATATTTTTTTCTCTCACAGTATCCAATAAATGGCTCCATGAACGTGGACAAGAATTTCGAAGACCATGCACATTGTCAGAATTGGAATGACAGACAGGCTTCCCTTCCTCTCCTGTTCTCTAATGTGTCTGATACACACATTCCCTCGTCTTACCTTTCAAGCGTTTACAATTGACTAACACTCCATGATTGATTCAGTCATGAATTCATCCCATGTTTCATCTGTGGACAATCACTTATTTTGTGGGTTTTTTTTCTTTTAAGAGTAACACTAAATCATCACATTGTATATATAAAACCTTAAAGTTCAGTTGGTATCTCAGAAGACATAGGAATTTTTGATTTTATATTATACTTTAAAGAACTTTTTGGTTGGATAAAAAATATAATTTAAGCATCCGATTTCAGTATTTCTCTACATCTCAGTTGGTGGGTAGTAGACTAGAATGGACCATGGGATTAGGAAACAGATGCCTCACAGTAGGTAAGTAGGCATTATGTTACCTAGTCTTCCTCTGTTTATTTTCTGGGTCTACCTGAAGACTAGTAATATACTGGGACTCTAGTCTGGGTTCCGTATAATGTTTGCCCCTCCATACACTATTCTACTGTGGTGAATTAAACCTGTTTGACTTAAATACAGTATTTTGATTAAAAAATTTGTTTTAAAAGAAAGTTCTGCATAACAACACTGGCCCTTCTTAACTAAAAAGCTCATCACTTAGTCTGTTTCTTTCTCTTTTTTCTTAAGTGACTAATGATTTTGTCCAGAAATTTTGCTGTTTTTCTTAGTGCTACTACTATCTTGCCTCTTATTCCTGCTACAGCAGGGTGGTGATATTGGCATTCTGATTAAATAAATATCGTGCCTTAGGAGACTGGAAGTTTTAAAATGTACAGGTCCTTTCAATAAGAGAACTGATCACAAGAAAAAAGTAATCTTTTTCTTAAAAAGCCAAAATGTTTTTTAAAATTCTGAAATGTGTTGTAACAACAATGACCTATTTATGATCTTAAATCTTTTTTTAAAAATGTTTCTGTTTTCTGTGTGGTGTTTTTCATATTTAAATCTGAGCGTATGGTATAGCAGTAAAGCTTAATTCTAATTTAGATTATTTCTTTAGTACATAGGGTTTAGATTCGTACTCTTGGCTTTCAGTCACACTAAGGTCACATTATTGTGGAAGAAAACTTTAGGCTCTCTGAAGTTTAAGATATTTAATCAATCAAAATGTGTTTCCTGCAAAGAGAGCTCTACAACTTTACTGTGGTTATGGAGAGTTACTACAATAATGACACTTAAAACTTTCTCCTATTCAAAAATATGGTGTGGTAGTATAAAGCTGTGAACTTTATGAGGTATGTTAGTTGATCCTTTAGACTAACTTTTTACATTATTTATGGTGAATCTTAGTTCACACAGGGCTCTTTATCCTTTGTGTAGTATTTAAATATATAGGAAGAATTTGGTTAATTCTCTGGGAAAATAGGTATTATTTTTGAAAAATGAACTGTGAAGTTCTTTTCTCCTAATGACTTTATTCCACCACAGGTGTTTTAGTAAGAGATACTGAGAATTAAGTTCAGCACTTTCATCCACTCAGATTTTGCAACCATAGATTACTTTAAAAAAACTTTTGTAGTAAAGATTAAATGGAAACAAATTCAAAAGTGTAAAAATAAATGGGGATAACACCAAGGTCCAGGGTTTGATCCCTATGGCCAGCCAATAAAATAAAATGGGAGTTCAAAGGATGGAAAATAATGTTTATTGCCATGTTTTAGCAAGTAGAATAAAAATAATATCTATTTCAGAAGGAAATTATTACATATTTATTTTATTCTTTACATTCAACCCAGAATCATACATCGGGAGTGGTAAACTCTTTTCAGAGTTAGATCTAACAGAACCTCCTCAAAGTTTCATGCCAATAATTTTTTTTCCTAAAATAAAAAGGGGAAAAATCCAATCTAAAGGCTTGGGTCCAATTGTCATTGCATTTTTTTTTTTATGCTGACCTTTCAAATAAATGAGAGGTGGAACTATACTGGAAAATGTGGTTTCTTCACCAACCCTAAGCCTAACCTTAACCTTCAAGACTGGGAGTTGTCACCAGTATGGAGCTAATCGAAGTATTCATCAGAATATCTTAACAGTGGGGTAAGTGTGACAACTAGGTAATTACCTCATAAGATTATAAAAAGAAAAGTGACTTTAGGATTCTTTGGAAAGCTAAATTGTAAATAGAATGATAAAAAAAAGCAATCAACTATCTACTCTAGTGAAAATATAATAAAATGGTTATTACAGTATGAGAGGGTTAAGAGATGTAAGCAGTAAACATATTTAATATTTAAGCTAATATATGTGCATGTGTATATATATAAATGAAATCTTACTGCTGCTAAGAAGAATCTGAATATCTACATAGCCATGTGTTGACTGCTATATGGAAATTTCATACCAGGTGTCCACTTAAATCCATATAACTGAAAAATGAACTTACATGCAGGGCCCCATGAGCTAAACAATTGAATGACTGGATTCCTATTATTAAGAAACTTACAGTGTAATAACCAAAACATACACACATATAATCATGATGAAATAACTGTAAATCACTGGAGAAGAAATAGAATTAAAGCAGAATGGAAAAATAACATCTTAATCTAGATAGCCAGCAACACAATCAATCTCTCCTTTTGGCAGCACTTATCTCACTTTTAGCTATGATAAAAGTTGATGTTTTAGAAGGAAAAATATTGGGTAACTTAGAGAAAAAGGAATGAATTAATCAACACTAGAGTACCATAAAGTACCAGCTTTACCAGAATAAAATAGATTTTGTATTCCTGTTCTCCTAATGTCCTTGGATATTATCCCATTCTTTTTTTTTTTTTTTTTGTCTTTTTGTCTTTTTCCGTGTCCGGCAACGGATCGCAACCCTCAGTGTTGCCCCCGTACCGGACCGGGGACCGGCAACGGGATCGCAACCCTCAGTGTTGCTCCCGCGCCTCACTCAGCCAGTGAGCAGGAACCGGTCTGTATGTGGGATCCGAACCCTCGGGCGGGAGCGCCGCCGCGCTTCCCAAGCGGCGCACTATCCAGTGCGCCACCGGGCCGGCCCTCCCCATACTGATGGATATTAACACCACACTGATGGGTTTTGCAAAATTAACTGTAGTAGACCAGTAAAGTTTTTGGCTGCTTTCTTAACTTTTATTTTAGGTCTTTAAAGTTTACTTTTTGTGTTCACGTAGCCTTCAGTTAAATATAAATTTTGATGCAGAAAGACTGATAAGTTGTTTTGGGGTTTTTTTTTAATTGTTAATTTTATTTATTTATTTGTGGTGGGGGGAGGGGCACAGCTGGCTGGTAATGGGGATCCAAACCCTTGACCTTGGAGTTACAAGGTAGTGCTCTAACCAACTGTGCTAACCAGTCAGCCCTGTTCTTATGGGATCCGAACCCTCGGACGGGAGCGCCGCCGCGCTTCCCAAGCGGCGCACTATCCAGTGCGCCACCGGGCCGGCCCTCCCCATACTGATGGATATTAACACCACACTGATGGGTTTTGCAAAATTAACTGTAGTAGACCAGTAAAGTTTTTGGCTGCTTTCTTAACTTTTATTTTAGGTCTTTAAAGTTTACTTTTTGTGTTCACGTAGCCTTCAGTTAAATATAAATTTTGATGCAGAAAGACTGATAAGTTGTTTTGGGGTTTTTTTTTAATTGTTAATTTTATTTATTTATTTGTGGTGGGGGGAGGGGCACAGCTGGCTGGTAATGGGGATCCAAACCCTTGACCTTGGAGTTACAAGGTAGTGCTCTAACCAACTGTGCTAACCAGTCAGCCCTGTTCTTATCAAATGTACAAGCAGATGTTAAGTAAAAGGAACAACCAAAAGATGGAAGTCCACCATCTTCTTCCTTTTGGGGCTTCATTGAACTCCCATTGCAGCACTGTTCTGTTGAAATTAGTTGTACAAAGCAAGATAATTACAGATGAAATAAGCTTTAAAATCTGAAAAAGGAGAATCCTTAAATTCTGTCATTTGGTCTTTCAAATTTTGTAATAGGCTTATTTCTAATATAAATCTGTTTTAGGCTAAGCACTTTAAGGTGTTGAGAATAGAACAATTTTAATATAGGGTGATATGTATCTACTTTAAAGCATTAGCGTAGTTGAACTCCACTGCAAAGTAGGTTTTACATGGGTTTAGATATATCGTGGGTTAAATCATATCATGTAAAGTAACTGTATAATGGTTAACTTCTAATAACAGATATTAATTTTATCCTTTGATACATATGTGATAAATTGTAGTTGTTAAATCTTAGAAGATAAAATAACTTACATAATAGTCTAATTTAGTTATGTTCAATTTTTATTTTACTTTTAAAAGGCAAAAAAGTTGAGGTTCTGTGACATGAAATACCTTTTGGGCTTTTATCATGAGATAGAAAAAAAAGTATTCCTTACTAAAAATAATCAGTGTATCTTTCCCACATTCCCTTTTTATTTTTTTCAACTATGGGGAAAATAAGGAAAGTTCAAGTAAGGTAATAATACTGCTTTGAAACAGTGTTACTCAGTGTGGTTTGCAAATGAGCTGCCATGGTTTTTCTTTTTTTTTTTTTTTTTT